ATAGCCAGGTGTGAGGTGTGGTAGTGTGTACCTGTAGTCTCAGCTACTTGAGAGACTGAGGTGGGAGAATCACTTGAACCCGGGAAATGAAGGCTGCAATGAACTATGATTCACTGCCGTACTCCAGCCTGGGTGACAAAGTGAGACCCTGCCCCCCCACAAAAAAATGTTAACTAAGCCAGGATTCTACACCAGGCAGTCTGATTCATGAGTCAGCCTTAACCTCTGCCTTGCAGTAAAATCCAAATTATCCAGTACTCTCTATGGGGACAACTGACATAGTGTTGGCCAGGGCATTGCCCCATGATGTCCAGGCTTATGAGACATTGGTCAGAGGAGAGAGAAAGAGGGTGACAGGAACAAGGCATTAATAGCCAGGCTGGCTGTCAGTAGCATTTGATCCCAGGCAGGAGATTCTAATGGATCTCACTCTAAGCAGGACACAGACAGGCTCAGTGTGGTTAGAGATGAAGGGAGGAGGAGGAGGAGGAGGAGGAGGAGGAGGAGGAGGAGGAGGAGGAGGGAGTGTTTGCGAGCTCAGCCCACATGAGGGCTGATGTCAGTCCGCTTTTGTGCATTTGTGTCCAAATTTGACATCTGATGTAAACAGTTGGTGTTAAATTCCATCCTGTGTTTTTAATCCACTGAATTGAGAGTCCCTCATGAGAGCATTTGGGTGGACCTCAGCAGCTCTGGCTCAGGAACCACCAGATACTTCCCAGAGAAAGTTGTTCAGCTGCCAGTACCTCCTGCCACACTTGCCTCTTCACACTTCTACATCTCCTTTCCTTTGCTCAGATGGGCCAACACATATTGTAGGGCAAGCCCGTGTCATAAGACCTGTAAGGATACTTCCGATTGGTAAGATTTGAAGGTGAAAGTCACTGATCATGAAACAGAATGAAGACCATAAGAAGGTGGAAACTTGGACTCTAGTTACTGGGCTCTAATGAACCGTGGCGTCATGAATTTTAGTAAAAACAAGGCCAGGGGTTGATGTCTTGCTTCTTCATGCCTGACTCTTTCCCTGAAGCCACAGCTCTCCTCGAATTGTTTCTGTAGTGCCAGGCACTTTTTTCCGCTGGGGCTGCTGAAAACAAATCAGAAACTGATTGAGGAGCATCTCCTCCCCTGATGGGGCGCCTGTGGCCTAAGGTTTCAAGTGATTGGGTGCCTTCTCTGAGTGTTCTCCATCAGGCAGGCGACCTCGCCCTAGAGACGTGCCACATGCTTTCGGAGCCACAAATATTTCACACCATGAGCTACCAGCTGCTGCCCTTCCCCCCTCTTTCATTCCTTTCCACCTCTTCCTCATTCCTAATCCCACACCTTAAAATCCCTTTAGCCACTGTCACCTTACCTTGTTCCTTTCTCATGTGGACCTCTCTCTGGAAGTTCCAAATCTGGGAAGCCTTAATGCACCTCTAGCTTCAACCTGCTTGGCAAAGGAAAGTAAAATGAACATCTGTGAATGTTTCCTACATGGCAGAGGTTGTTTGCAGTGCTTTACGTTATTTCATACAAACCTCATGACAACTTGAAAAGGAAATGTTTACTCTCAGAGGTCCTGAGGCTACTCAGGTTTAGATTAGAAAGTGCCAAAACCAGGCTTCAGACCCATCCCTGTCTACCTCCAGAGTCCGCAGTCTTTGTATGATTTTGGATGTCTCCAGAGCCCCATTCAGCCTTCTCAGCTTTCTAACCTCATAGCTCTGTTCCCATGCAGAATTGATATTTCACTTCTTGGAGTTTAGAAAAGAAAGAGGGAGCAGGGAGGAAATAAAGGAAGAAAGGAAAAGAACAGCCTTCCAGCTTTTTTTTTTTTTTTTAGGAGAATACGTCTTTGTAGCATAACTACAACAATAACATAAATTGTTGTGTGTGCATGTGTGTTTTAACTGGAAGGGGGCATGTGTCATTCAGCGATTATTTAAAAAAATGTTAAGCCATGGAACCATTAGAAAATGATACCATGAAACACAATAAAGACCATAAGAAGGTGGAAGCTCAGACTCCGGTTACTGGGTGGCAGTGACTGAAGTGATGGTGGTGGAAGGAGCTCCAAGGCCTGGCCTTTGTATGTCCCGTGCAGCCAGAAGCATGTCAGTGGAGTCTCAGGATTCTGTTGAACATGGTGGGAAAGCGCCTGATTATTTTTCCTTTTAAAATAAGCCAGCTGAGGCCCAGAAAGGGGAAGTGGCTGGCAAAGTCAGGACTAGTGCCTGAGTCTCCCAGCTTCTATCCTGCAGCTTTTTACAGAAATCTCAGGTTGTATATTTTTGCACAAACTCTGCAGGATGCAGTCCAGGGAGAGATGCAGGTGGAGGCAGAGAGGGTAGAGGGCCAGGGCTTCCTCTTTTTCTCCTTCCTCATCACCAACAACCTAAACTCCCAATCCCCGTGGGGAATGAGGTAGGTCAGGGAGAGGACTGACAGGGATTACAGAAGAGTTCAAACGAGGTACAAGGGGTCAAGTTTGGTAGCTGACAAGGAAGAGAGGTGAGGCAGAAGATGAGGGGAGGTGGTGAGGTAAACAGAGCAAAGGAGCTGCCCTCCCAGCTCAGGACCACGGCTGAACTAGAGTCTGGGCCCTGGTCTTGTTCTAGTTCCCCTTGAGCAAGTCCTGGCCCTTTTTCCTGTCTGTTTCCTTTGAAGGCTTCTATGCCACCACTAGTGAGCGTGTACAGGCTGCAGGAGGAGCAGTGAAGAGCAGAGTGCTACAGAGAGCACTGCACCCCGGGAACCAGAATTAGCTGGCCCAGCTCTGCCTGTAAGTAGCTGAATGTCTTGAGACAACTTAAATGTTTCCCTGGACCTTAGCTTCCTTGCCTGTAAAACAGGTTGGGGCCAGATAACCTCTAAGGGTTCTTCTGGCTCTGAAAGCAATGATCTGGGGCATGGAGCCGGTGGTTAGAAAGTTGGGGAATGGGCAGGTGTGGGCTCCAGGGCACCTAGCATTGCAGGCTTGGCACCTAGCATTGCAGGCTTAGCAGCTAACAGCAACCAGGTGTTCTGTGGTCTAGCAATCTTACTTTATAGGTGAGGAGACTGGCCCTAGAAAGGCAAAGTGATTTTTTTGCTTCTCTCAGTTTTATTCCCCTTTTTCCTCTGAACTGTAGAGTCTAAAGATTCAGCACGTAGCAGTTTTGTGTAGTGGATACATACACTTTTTTGTTGTTAGTTTTCTGAATATTTTATTGACTTTCAAAGTTTTTTTTACATAAACAGTAAATGCTCGTTATAAAAATTTCCATTAATACAGGAAGTGAAAAAGTAAAAAACTGCAAAGTGCTGTTATCCTCCCACCCTTACCCGCTAGGTCCCCAGAGGTGTCTCTGTAAACAGTTCAGTGTGTATCCATCTTGACCTTTCCAACGAATGCACAAACTTGTATGCCCTTCCCCCACAACTGGATTATCATATACATTATTCAAGCATAAGCTTTGGAATCAGATATATCTAGAGTCTAATCCCAGCTCATAGCTAATTATTTGCATGACCTTGGCTAAAGTTATTCAACCAGTTTTAGTTTCAATCTCCCCAAGTATAAAATGAAAATAATAAGTATCCACCTGGCCTGAAGTGGCAGTTTGCACCTGTAATCCCAGCACTTTGGAAGGCTGAGGCTGGTGGATCGCTTGAGCTCGGAAGTTCAAGACCAACCTGGGCAATTTAGCAATACCTCATCTCTGCTAAAAACAAAGCAAAAAGCCCTCAAAATTAGCCGGGTGTGGTGGTGCCCACCTGTAGTCCCAGCTACTCGGAAGGCTGAGGTGGGAGAATTGCTTGAGCCAGGAAAGGCGAGGCTGCAGTGAGCTGTGATTGCACCACTGCACTCTCACCTGGGCAACAGAGTGAGACCTTGTCTCTGTTAAAACAAGCAAACAGGGCCGGGCATGGTGGCTTACGTCGGTAATCCCAGCACTTTGGGAGGCTGAGGCGGGCGGATCATGAGGTCAAGAGATTGAGACCAGCCTAGTCAACATGGTGAAGTTACAAAAGTTAGCTGGGCATGGTGACATGTGCCTGTAGTCCCAGCTATTCAGGAGGCTGAGGCAGGAGAATTGCTTGAACCCAGGAAGTGGAGGTTGCGGTGAGCCGAGATTGCACCATTGCACTCCAGTCTGGGAACAAGAGCGAAACTCCGTCTAAAACAACAACAACAACAACAAGCAAACAAAATAGTATCTACCTTATAGGATCGTGGTAAAGATTTAATGAGATTTTATATGAGTAGCACTTAACAGTTCCTGGTACTGGTAGTAGTAAGCACTACACACAGACATACCCCCCCACACACACCGGCACACACAGGGCACAGAATGAGTTAGACGTGGAGTGAAAACTAAACCCCTAGTTTTCTGACCCTCAGTCTCCTCGACTTTCTACCACACCTCTCTGCTTCTCTCCTAAGTGCCTAGGCATGGGTTAAAGGCTCACTACTTGTTGAATGAATGATTGAGATGGTGGGGGTGGGGTAGATCTAGGGATCTGAGGTCTGTGGAGTTTCTGGGATGCCTGCTCTGGAAAATGGAGGCTTTCTCCCTGTGAGTTGTGGGGTGTGGGGCAGTGTGGGCTGGCTGGACCAGCTGTTGCTTCAGAGCTCCATGCCTGGAGAGTTGGGCCTCTGGGCAGATCTGAGGGCCCAGAGTGGCTCTCAGCTTAAAGGATCTTGGCTTAGAAGGAATGCAAAGTGGGCTGCCTCTGCTCAGGAGGGGCTAAAAAAAGCCTCACCCTCCCCTGGGCTTTGTGTGAGGGTTATCAACTGCTCAAGTCAGCTCATCTCTCCGGCTGCTCTGGCATATTTGAGAAGGTCTGTTTTCCTGGTCCTTCTGGGTTTCCACCAATTGGCAGGAAGGGATCAGCCTGTTCTAGAGGTGAAGAGAGAGGTGTGGGGTGAAGGGGAGGGGGCTGGTGGCCCCAAACCTGGTGACAATACGCAGTTGTCAGCTGTACCCTGCTGGCATTTCTTCCTTTTATAGTCAGCAGCAGTTGCTCTTGCTCTCACCCAGCCCCTCTGTGGGGGCTCCTGCCCAGGATAAAAGGGAAGGGAGGCGGCCCAGGCTCCTATCTCATCTCACAGATGCCACGTCTCTTGGTTTCTTCTCAGATCACTCCTCTGACAAGGATCCCAACAAGACAACATGGCTCCCAAGAAGCCTGAGCCTAAGAAGGAGGCCGCCAAGCCAGCTCCAGCTCCAGCCCCTGTGCTAGCCCCTGCCCCAGCTCCTGAGCCTCCAAAGGAACCTGCTTTTGACCCCAAGAGTGTAAAGGTAAGTGAGGATCAGGCATTGGGATGGATGTGGGATGACATACAGAGTCCTTTTGCTCTGGAGCTTAGAGATCTACTTCATGTGGGATGAGGAATAGGGCGTCCATGCCGCAGACGACAGTCCCATGGGGCAGTGGAGAGGGTGTTGGGGCTGAGGAGGGGGATATTGGGCCATAAACCTTTTCCGTCAAGAATGAGGTGCTGCTCTGAGGGAGACCTGTTCTGCTACCCTAGATTTGTGCAGCTAAGCTGGGAATGGTTGGGAGGGGAGGGAGGTACAACCAACCACCCTTCCACCCTCTTTTAAGGCATTGTGAGGACCACCATAGCAACATAGAAGAGACTAGCTAGCCTTTTCCTAGGAGGTAGTGGGATGTCTTTATAGAGAACAGACACATCATGGCAGCTGCCAGTGTAGCTTGGAATAAGTGAGATAAACAGTCAGGGAACGCCCTGCCTGTGCATAGAGGACAAACACTCTTATGGCAGGTGAGGGCAGGGTGGAAAGGAGATTGTGGTTAAGGTAAGAGGAGCCTGGATTCCTTTCTTTCTCTTTCCTTACCCAGATGGGTCTCCTTCTCTTTCCTTAGCCTGGGTTCTTATCTGTAGCATACACAGGACTGGCCCACCCCAGGCTGAGACCCTCTCTCCAGTCATGTCAGGAAATTGGGCCTGGTTCCTCTGCTCCACCCTGCTCTCCTCACACAAAACATTCCTCTCTCTGGAGCTGGTGTGGGCGCTGCCTGCTGACTCAGTCATTTTAGACCTCCCACCTCTCTGGCCCAGCTGCTAAAGGAATGGAACTGGGGGGAGAGGGGTGGGCTGAAGAGGGAGGGGCCAGAGACCTCTGGAGAGGAGCAGTTTTAAGCCTTGGCACCAGAATGGGAGAGGCCAAGTGGCTACTGGTATGAAGAGCTATTAATAACAGGTTGCAAGTGCTGAGCCCCCAGGGATCTCAGCCTTAGGATAGGGCTGGGGGTGGCGAGGGATCAGGTCAAAATAAGAGCACAGGACCAGGTTCTGTGACAAGCAGGCAGGGAAACCAAACCCAGAGCTCTAATCCTATGACCTCTCTGCCCTCTGAGGATTCCTCCTGTACCCCAAACCGGGGATACCCTACAATTATTATGCCAAAGACCCAGTCCGCTTAAGGGGCAGGAGTTAGGTGGAAATGCTTGGCCAAGAGATGGAAGCAATTGCTCCATTTCTGAGCTTGGTTATGGCTCATTCTGGGGAAACTGAGACTGCTGGTTGACCCTGAAAGCACCTGCCGGTTTTCTAGGTCATACATCATCTCCCTCTAGAAGCTGAGCCTGGCAGGAAAAGCTGACTATTTCCCCCTTCAGGATTCCTCCTCACCTTGATTTCTGATTTGTTCTGATAAAGCACTGTGCCTTTGGGTGGGTTGCCAGGCCTGGTCTCTGGTGTCTGGGCAATAGTTGCCTAGTGGAATTAGACTGGTGTCCTTCCTTGGCCTGTTACTTCTTTCATTCAGTCTCTTCTCCCAACTTTTTGCCTGTGACAAGTTGCACCCCTGGTTGCAATCCCCTTTTCCATGTCTGTGTCTTCATGGGGTCTGTTGTGGGGTGCTGAAGTTGCTTTGAAGCAGGAAAAAAAAGATATCTTTTATGAGAGCCATTTTCCCTATTATTGTGTTATACTTACCCAGTTCCTTTGATTAGAAGGTTCTTTGCTCCAAGATAGAGCAGAAGGCAGGTGAGGTGACTCATGCCTATTGGAGGCCGAGGTGGGAGGGTTATTTCAGGCTAGGCATTTGAGTCCAACCTGGGCAACATGGCAAGACCCTTGTCTCTACAAATAAATAAATAAATTATTAAAAAGATTCCAAGATAGAAGAGAAGCAAACTTAAGCCCAATGTGTATAGTTATGACCATCTATTGAGATTTTATGTTTTTACATTAGTTGCTCTTACATGTTTATTCCTGGTACTTAAAGCATTGCAAAGTAAAGCAGATGGTTCCTTTTCCTCAGAGAGTAAGTGCGGAGCATCCTTCACTCCATCTAGGGGGTTCCTTTCACTTTCTGACCACCCCCCACTTTTGGCAAAGTCTATTCCTGGCCACAGCTAGTTTTCTTTCCAACCCAGTTAACTCCCACTGCCCCAACCCATCCCCAGCTCATGGCTGCCACCTCTGGGTCCTCATGAATGGAGATTGGTTCTCGGAGATGAGGGGACAGGATGGGTGCAGCACAAGCAGCGGCAGAATTAGGAGTAGGAATGACGGCACTTGAAGAAGAGGCTCCAGGATTGGTTACCACCACCACCAGTGGAGAGGGAATAGGATGGGATGGGGTGGAGTAGGGTGCATAAGGACCACAAGTTAACATACAGAATCTTAAAATGACTTGGGCCTGGTGTGGTGGCTCACACCTTTAATCCCAGCCCTTTGGGAGGCCGAAGCAGGTGGATCACCTAAGGTCAGGAGTTTGAGACCAGCCTGGTCAACTCAGTGAAACCCCATCTCTACTAAAAATACAAAAATTAGCAGGGTGTGATGGTGGATACCTGTAATCCCAGCTACTGAGGCAGGAGAATCGCTTGAACCCGGGAGGCAGAGGTCACAGTGAGCCAAGATCATGCCATTGCACTCCAGCCTGGGTGACAAGGGTGAAACTCCATCTCAAGAAAAAAATAAAATGATGACTCTTGCTTGGGCATTGTCATTCACTCTCCTCGTCTGAACTCAGCATTGAATTATTATGCATTATGAGGGGGAGATTGAAAATGTATCACTTCATTCAACAAATATTTTTGAGTGCCTACTATGTGCTGAGCATTTCAGTGAACAAGAACAAGAATCCTCGCCTGAGTGAATGGTGGTTTCAAGGAGACAGAGTGCATATAAAGGCATGACTGCAAACAACTGAGAAGCGTAGAGGGCCCATGCCAATTATTCTTGCTGTCCCAGAGTGCCTAAGAGTGTGTCAGAAGACAAAAGTGCAACACATTTGGTTTAAGGATCCTGACTGGCTTTTATGTTTGAGTCCAGAATCTGGCAACAATGAGCCGGGCAGAGGAGGTGATATTATAGACAAAGAAGAGCTGAGGAAAGCAGAGACTAAGAGCAAAATACAAATTGGTCATTGCAAAATTATTTTCCTTGTAAAGGTTAAAGCGGATGGCGCTTTCTTATCACGCCGGCCAAAACTGTCCTGTCTGGGGATTTGGCTATTATCTCTCATTTTCCTGATTTTTTGGAAAATCAGATGAACAACTTAGTTTCGGTTTGGTGACCTGGAACTTCAGCACGAGTGAATCTGTTTTGGTTTGGTCTGTTGGGCCTAGTGTAGGAGCTCAGTACAAACCAATGGCCTCTTATAAATTGTACTTAACGAGGGACATGTGCTGAAGTAGGGATTGGAGTGAGTTGGTGTATGGGGAGCCTTCATTGAAGGGAGTGGATTTAAATCAGAATCAAATAGAAACAGGAGTCAGAGGATGGGAGTGGTGTCCCCAAAGGGGGCAGAAGTACAGCATGTCAGAGGACTATGGACTAGGAAGAGATTGAAGGGGCAACAGTGAGGGCAGTTTGTGGGTGGCTAGGATGAAGAATTTACCTTTGCCCCAAAGGCATTGCAGTAGGGACTCAGTGTAGGTTCTAGAATTATCCAGGGAATTTCTTCTTCCCTTTCCCTCTTACCTGGAGTCATCGCTTAACAAGTGGTTTTGAGAGAGCTTTAGAGTCTCCATTACAGTTGTCCCTCAGTATCTGTAGGGGATTGGTTCCAGGACCCCCACAGATACCGAAATCTGAGGATGCTCAAGTATCCTAGATAAAGTTTGCATATTTGCATATATAATCTACGCACAGTCTCCTGTATACTTTAAATCATCTCTAGGTTACTTATAATATTTAGTACAATGTAAATGTTATGTGATAGTTCTTATGTTATGTATTTTTTTGTATTATATTTTATTGTGTGGTTATTTATTGTTTTCTGAGTATTATCAATCCACGGTTGGTTGAACCTGGGGATGCAGAACCCGTGGATACAGAGGGCTGATTGTATTTCATAACCTGTCAGCTGTGGCTCATTCATCAAGAGACTGGTGTTTTACCCTTAGTACCAATTCAGCAGGCCACTGATAAGTGGGAAAGGAGAACTGTCCCAGTGGCCTGCTGGAGGTGGCCAGATGGTAAAGCCACTTCTGCTTCTGTGTCCCTTTGGGAGCCTTTACGATTGCTTTTAGCAATCTCAGCCCTCACTCCTATTTCCCTCCCTACAGATAGACTTCACTGCTGACCAGATTGAAGGTGAGTATGGACAACCCCACCTCGCCGTCTTTATTGCACTCTCCTGGAGGAGGAAGAAGAGGAGGAGGAGGAGGAGGAGTTGTTCTCGTGGTAATAGTAGTCACTGTCATCATCATCATCATAGCAAACCTACATTGAGGATCTACTGTGTGTTAGGCACAGTCCTAAGAACTTTCTGTGGATCAACTCCTTTACTTCTCATAACAACACCATGAGGTAGCAATTGTTACCTCCTCCATTTTACAAGTGATAAAACTGAGACACAGAGCGATGGGGTGACTTGTCCAGTCTCACATGGCAGTTAGCAGTAGAACTAGGATTCAAACTCAGGCGATCTGATTCCAGATCTGTGTTCTCTTTTTTTTGGACCTGTGTTCTCAACTACTCTGCCAGACTGCTTGGAGCATAATAGATGCTCAACAAAAGTGAGTGCCTTTTTTTCTCCACCCCAGAGATCTAAGGTATTTGGAAGCCTCATTTCTGTTCCCATTATTGGAAAGCCCTCCTTAGTTGACCAGCTTCCCCTTCTCCCATGATGAAGTCTGCCAAGATGCTAACCCACTAATGGTGGCAAGGCCAACGAAATGTTTTATCCTGTGATGCTACGTGTCCCCAGCCAAGCAGGACTCACGGTCATTGCAGTATCCCTCTGTTTCCCCCACCAAATGCCTCCAGGGTATAAAATTATAGGCATTAGAAGGGACCCTGAAAAATCACCTAATTCAAACCCCTCATTTGAAGCACATACTCTCTTTTAAAAATTAAATGAATTCTTACACATGATAAAAAAAAAAAAGCAAAAAAGCATGCACATACTACTTAAAAATAAATAATAAAAAATAAAAGTCCTTTTTTTATGCTGATTCCTCTCCCAAAGACGACTGTGAACAGGTGTTCATGTATCCTTTCAGATATATATATATATATATATATATATATATATATATATAAAATGATACACAAGTTTATGTGTATGTATGATGAATATATAAAGTTTATACAAATCAAGTCATGTGAAACACACCATCCACCTTTTATTAAACATATACTTGGATTTAATAATACATATGATTCAGTAATATACATTATTTGGATATCTTTTCACAATTAACACAAACAGTTCTACTTTATTCTTTTAAACAACTATATAGACTCTCACACATAGATTTACCCATTTAATTTAATCAGAACTATATTGATAGACTTTCAGATAGTTTCCAGTTGAAGAGTATCAGCTTGCTTTCCCCAGGTGATCTTCCTAGCAGTGGGTTAAAGGATGGTGCATTTTAAATTATAATGGTTATTGCCAGGTTGCCCTCTAAAAAAGTGACACCAGTTTAACCACAAATACAACATGAGAGCTGGCACATGCATTTTGAAAGTAGTGAATTGAACCTGACTCTGTTTCAATAATACTCAGTGGATACTCACTTGCAATCAGTAGTTTCAGGGATGCTGTGAAATTCTTAAAATCAATTTTAATGCGTTTTAGTTAAATACATACTTATGTGGATATAAAAACACAGTGACACTAGTGAGGACTTGAAAATCAACTGATGGTTTAAAATTTTTATTTCTCAAATGGCCAGCTGGAACAGATGGTTGTCTCTTTTCTCCTAAAGATTTTCAGGGCCGATAGGGAGGGGATAACTCATTCTGATCTTTTATCCCTCCAACCTTGAAGACATTTTTCCTACTGTTGAATCAGAATCGTTTTTCCTTCAATTTTACCCCAGCGATCTTTTCATTTGTTTTTTTGGTGAAGCTGATAATGATTTTCTCATGTTATGGTGGAAAGAACATAATTTAGAATTAGGAGACTTTCGTATTAGCCCTAATTCTGCCACTATTGGCCATGAGACTTTGGACAAATCACTTCGTTTTTTTTTTTTTTTTTTTTTTTTGAGACGGAGTTTCACTCTTGTTACCCAGGCTGGAGTGCAATGGTGCGATCTTGGCTCACCGCAACCTCCGCCTCCTGGGCTCAGGCAATTCTCCTGCCTCAACCTCCTGAGTAGCTGGGATTACAGGCACGCACCACCATGCCCAGCTAATGTTTTGTATTTTTAGTAGAGACGGGGTTTCACCATGTTGACCAGGATGGTCTCGATCTCTTGACCTCGTGATCCACCCGCCTCGGCCTCCCAAAGTGCTGGGATTACAGGCGTGAGCCACCGAGCCCGGCCAAATCACTTCTTTAAATCTTAATTTTCTTATCTACAAAGTGAAGGTATTTGGTTTCCAATTCAGAAATTCTGGTCCATTCAGCATCCTCTAGATATCCTCCATCTATTTGGAGATAGTTTTCAAATCCCTCCTAAGATTTATATTTTCTAGGTGATATGCCCCCAATTTATTTAATTATATTATTTTGTTTTGAGACAAAGTCTCACTCTGTCACCTAGGCTGGAGTGCAATGGTGCCATCATAGCCCACTGTAACCTTGAATTCCTAGTTTTAAGCCGTCCGTTCACCTCAGTCTCCTGAGTAGCTAGTATTATAGGTACGTACAATTGTTTTTATGTTTTGTAGAGATGGGAGTCTTGTTATATTGCCCAGACTGGCCTCCAACTCCTGGCCTCAAGCAATCCTCCCCAGTTGGCCTCCCAAAGTGCTGGGATTATAGGCATTAAGTCACTGTACCTGGCCTCCCAATTTCTTTTGTGCTTTTTTTTTTTTTAAATCTCATAGGAATTACCTTCTAACCCTTGACTTCCTTCTCATCTCTCTCCAGATTTCTGTATTCTTTTAGAGAGGGGTTACTACCACTGGACTCATTGCTCTAGTAAGCAGCTGACTACACTACTGCAGAGTATTGAGGAAAGGTCTCTTCTGGACCCTTGAACATCACCTCTAATACCTGAAGATCACACTGGCTTTTTTTTTTTTTTTCCCCTAGTTGTAGTCCTAAACGTCAGAGTTTGTATTTTTATTTTTATTTTTGTGCATACCCGGCTTCCCAGCAGGCCAGGTGATCGGTTGGAGCATTAGCAGTTATGAGAAGCAGATCTCCTCTCCTTCTCTTGCTCCTTCTTCCCCATCATTTCCTTGGTTTCCTTAGTGGCTGATCATAAGTCACATCTACATTGGCCTTTAAATGAGGATAATAATACCTGTAGCATAAGTTTTTTCATGAAGATTAATGAAGTGTTCTATGCAAAATTATTTGCTCAGAGCCTGGTTCATGGTAAGTGCTCAAATCATAGGTCATTGTTCTTATTGCCTTCCTCTTCAGGTTTCACCCCCTCTTTTTATTTTTTTTTTATTTTTTTTTTGAGTTGGAGGCTTGCTTTGTCACCCAGGCTGGAGTGCAGTGGCAAGATCTCGGCTCACCAAAACCTCTGCCTCCCGGATTCAAGCAATTTTCTGCCTCAGCCTCCCAAGTAGCTGGGACTGCAGGCACACGCCATCATGCCTGGCTAATTTTTTGTATTTTAGTAGAGATGGGGTTTCATCGTGTTGCGCAGGCTGGTCATGAACTCCTGAGCTCAAGCTATCCACCCATCTCGACCTCCCAAAGCACTGGGATTATAGGTGTGAGCCACTGCACCCAGCCTCACCCTCTTATTAAGCATCATTACATCTTTTTCTTTCTTTTTTTTTTTTTTGAGACAGAGTTTCAGCCTTGTTGCTTAGGCTGGTGTGTAATGGCCTGATCTCGGCTCACCGCAACCTCTACCTCCTGGGTTCAAGTGATTCTCCTGCCTCAGCCTCCTGAGTAGCTGGGATTATAGGCATGGACCACCATGCCCAGCTAATTTTGTATTTTTAGTAGAGACGGGGTTTCTCCACATTGGTCAGGGTGGTCTCAAACTCCCGACTTCAGGTGATCCACCCACCTCAGCCTCCCAAAGTGCTGGGATTACAGCCGTGAGCCACTGCACGCAGCGCAGCATTACATCTTCTTTTGAGGAGACTTTCTCTTTTGTTAAACCTGACCTCACTCTCCTGAATGAGCTAGGAGATCAAAAAGTCTGACTTCAGATTTAACTAACTAATATACATTTATTGAGTACTGAATTTGTGTCAGACACCACGCTAATTGTTTTAAAAATTGAAAAAGATTAAATCCTGGCCAGGTGCAGTGGCTTATACCTTTAATCCCAGCACTTTGGGAGGCTGAGGCAGGTGGATCACTTGAGGTCATTAGTTCTAGACCGGCCAACATGGTGAAACCCTGTCTCTACCAAGAATATAAAATATTAGCTGGGTGTAGTGGTGTGCACCTGTAATCCCACTACTCAGGAGGCTAAGGCAGGAGATTGCTTGAACCTGGGAGGCAGAGGTTACAATGAGCCCAGATTGTGCCACTGCCCTCCAGCCTGGGGCGACACAGCAACACTCTGTCTCAAAAAAAAGAAAAAAACAAAAAGTAACTCCTCATAGGAAACCAAGGTTCAGCAAGGTTAAATGATTTGGCCAAGATCACACGTTTAAGTGATCCAAACTAGGATTAAACTCAATAAGATAATACCAGCAGAATTGTTTATGCATTTACTATGTGCTAGACATTGTGTTAAAAATTTTTACATACATTATTGTATTTATATACATAGTATATTTACATACATTATTATATTAATTTGAATGTAATTTAAGAAACCTATGATGTAGGTACCATTTATAGAAGAGGTTTTTAGAGGTTAAATATTTATTTGTCCAAGGTCAAGTAAGCAAGGGGAATGAAATTTGAACTCAATTATTCAGTAATGTGAAAGAAACGTGGTTTTGTAACTTTTAAATTCATATAAGGCCTAATAAAGAGTTGAAAGTAAAGGTCTGGGGAATCTCCTGTGATATGTGGAATGATTTGTAAATAATCCATATGTAGCCGCTAAGGAGAGAAGTACTTGGAAAAGATTAAAACCAGCTTTTTTTCCTAAGTAGTTCATTAATTCTCTTTTTTTTGGCTTATACTGTTAATCTGCTTAATAAACCACTTCTTTGTGGATAGCATAAGGTAACTTCAATGCCCCTCCCAGGCCAGATTACCTCCAGTAATGAACTGGTTGAATCCCATTCAATGAAGAATTGGGCCTGGGTATGGTGGCTCAGGCCTGTAATCCCAGCACTTTGGGAGGTCGAGGAGGACAGATCACTTGAGGCCAGGAATTTGAGACCTGCCTGGCCAAAGTGGTGAAACCCCGTCTCTACTAAAATACAAAAATTAGCCAGGTATGGTGGTACACGCCTGTAGTCCCAGCTACTTGGGAGGCTGAGGCACAGGAACTGCTTAAATCCGGGAGGCAGAGGTTGCAGTGAACGAAGACTGCACCACTGCACTGCAGCCTCGGTGACAGAGCGAGACTCTATCGCAAACAAAAACAAACGCAAATCAGTGAAGAATTAATGTTCTTTGGAAAAGGGACCAGGATTGCCTTCCTTTGGTCTTGGTCCAGTGATACTTGCCCTGCTGCCTTCAAGGAGTCCAGTCCCTGTGGTTCTGAGCTGGAAAGTAGGAAACAGAACTAGGAAACATTTGTAACCACCACCCGTCGATTCCCTTACCATATGCTGGACATTGCTTGGCGTGCTTTGTGATCCTACCTGCAGCCTCCTCAAGTGATCATTGTATCTCCAGTTAGAGCTAAGAAAACAAGGGCCCACAGATGACAGTAGTTTGCCCAAGCCTGTATGTGGGTCGATGGCAGAGCTGGGGTGGTCAGACCATGCCTCATCTGGCCTGGGAGCTGCCTTTCAGCCTGGAACAGGCAGTACTGATAATAGCTAACTTTCCAGCAGGTCTTATCACATTGTAAAGTGCTTTCACACAATGCCACCTCCCTTTGCTCTCACGGTGACAGGGCCAGGGAGTAGGATGTAGTTGTCACTCCCTTTGTGTGCATAGGAAGTTGAGACCCAGCCTAGCTTATCCTGTGCTCTGAGGACGAGCCAAGACAAGAATTTAGGAATCCTCAGTTCCGGGCCAGTGCTATTTTCACTCTTCTGTCATTTCAGCAATTAGGAACCTTACCTACACCAGAGCAGGATGTGTGGGTGGGAGGGGTTGAGGCCAGGGAGACATTTGAATTTGTTTTGTTTTGTTTTGTGAGATGGAGTCCGGCTTACTGCAACCTCTGCCTCCTGGGGTCAAGAGATTCTTGTGCCCCAGCCTCCCAACATTCAAATTTTGTAACAACCAAGCAATAGCAGAGATTCCAGACCCAGCCCCGGAATGGGTCGTGGAGGCACCAGGCCGCCTCTTGGGTTGGCAGAAGATGGGATTGGGACAGGTTTGAGGGAGGGCCTGGGATGATGGACAAAGAGAAATACTGGAATATTTTAACAACCACACTCACCTGCTATTCAGCTTGGGTGGAGGCTGATTGGCCACCAGCACCACTTTCACTGGGAATCAAGGGGTACAGCCAGGTCTTCTCTCCACAGAGTTCAAAGAGGCCTTTTCACTGTTTGACCGGACCCCGACTGGAGAGATGAAGATCACCTACGGGCAGTGTGGGGACGTGCTGCGGGCCCTGGGCCAGAACCCCACCAACGCCGAGGTGCTGCGCGTGCTGGGCAAGCCCAAGGCTGAAGGTCAGTGCAGCCGCATGGCAGACTTCTCCCAGGTCAGCCTTGCAGTCTCTGGCTCCCTGCTCGTCCAGATTTGTCTCTGCCATCTGCGCTCTCTCTTCTTCCCCGTTAGCCCCCCAGGATCAGCCTTCCCTCCCCAGGTTACCCTAACCCCATTTTGAGAATTTATCTAGAAGTCCCCATACTTAAGTGACCCTTGAGGAACGTAACCTGGGCTTGTTTTCCTCTCGAGATTGGGAGCTCCTGGAGGGCAGGAGCCACATTCTGTTGCCTCAGTGTCTGACTCCCCCACCAGGGTTTCAGAGACACAGCCATGGGCAGGAAGGCTGGGTGGGAATCTGGAATAACTGATGGTTCCCACTCCCCAACCCAGGAGCTCTCAGGAGAGGCATCTGTCACAGCACTGAGATATCCTGAGCTGTATTACATATAATTTGTTTCTAGTAATGGTTAGAGTACTGATGTTTGCAAATTACAGCAACTATCATGAGCTGTATTACAAATAATTTGTTTCTGATAATGGTTAGAGCACTGACATTTGCAAATTATTTGTTTGATGTAAATTAGAGGAGCTTCAAGATTCTTAGCTCTACAGGCTTCCTCTTTCATTCATTTGCATTTCAATGGGTTTTGGTGAGTGAGTGTTTAGAATGGTGAGTGAATGTTTAGAAAGTGGTGCAAACCGATTCTTTTGTAGCTCCTAAGTGTGATCACTGAGTCTTCATACTCATTTGTGAGCTGTGCCTCTGTCAATCCTTGTTACGACAGATGAAAAGAGGTGCGAGGGAGTGCGTCCCATTTGTGAATGTCATCTGTTATGTGTGCCAGTGAGGTTAACAGCTGCTGTAAAACACACACACACACGCACACACACATGCTTCTCCTCAGTGGTGTTGGCAAGGGGCGTGGGGTGGGGTGAGCCTCTCAGCAAGGGTGGACTTCCTGGGGCCCACATTGGTTCTCTCCCCGTTCCTTGGTTCTGACCCCTTCCCCTTTTCCTCTGGCTGAAGATAACCTCGGGGGTGAAGAATGAGGCTAGGAAAGGATCAGAGGGTGAGGAGCTTGCTTCTCAGAAGTCAGAAGGAAGTCCTGGGTGCTTATAAAAGAAAGAAATGCTCACATTTGTGGTAGTTAAAAATAGTTTACCTCTATTAAAGTAAAGCTTTTTAACATACTACCATGTGGGAGAAGTGTGCTATTCACAAGAGAACTGCAATTTTATAAACTTATTGAATCAGAGTAGCTTCACACAGTGTGGTCTAGTGATGGGACCCCACGCAGAGTGATGAAAACATTTCTTTTTCAATCCTGTTCATTTGCCCCTGTGACTATAGGTCTGTCACACGTCAAGAGTGTAAACTGAGTATGAGGCCCCGGGCTGCGTGGCACCTCAGGCCCCTCACATCCTGCTGCTGCCACCCTCGGTTGCTCTGCCTGGCTGGCCACCTCGTGCACAGAGGTCTGGATGGAGGGTTTCTTTTTCCTTCCACCCTACTTCTTTCACTGAGAAGAGAGGGCCCTGAGACGGTCTTCCCAGCCCCCAGTCCCCTGCCTTGCTTGGATGGGCAGCTCTGTTTCTTCCAGGAGCACTAATGGGTGCCCCACCTGGAAGTGGCTGCAGCCCAAGCCCTGGGTGCTGCCAGACGTGCGGTGAGGCCCCCTCCTGACCCTCTGCTCCCATGAACATCTGCTCACGTTTCTTTCTCTTTCTTTACCCATGCCTACCTGAAGAGATGAATGTCAAGATGCTGGACTTTGAGACGTTCTTGCCCATCCTGCAGCACATCTCCCGCAACAAGGAGCAGGGCACCTATGAGGACTTCGTGGAGGGCCTGCGTGTCTTTGACAAGGAGAGCAATGGCACGGTCATGGGCGCTGAGCTTCGGCATGTCCTTGCCACCCTGGGTATGGCAGCTAGGCAGAGATGAAGACCTAGTGGGAGGAATGTAGGGGTGGGAGGTGCCAAGGTGACATATGCTGGTGGGGGGTGTTATACAAGGGTCTCTGCATCCTGAGGATAATGACCTGATCCAGGCCCTGCCTCCCTGGGCTCTGCCTCCCTGAGCTCCCTGGGCTCTCCCTGGCCCAGCAAAACCATCCCTAGCTGGGTTTGCTCAGCAAGAACCAGGGTTTGGGAGAGGAGGAGAAAGGAGGTTGGCAGAGCAGGGGTTACTGCTGGGGCCTGAGTGGTGGGACTCCGGGCTTCTGTCCTTGTCTTTGCCTGAAATACTGAGGCCCTGGCAGCTGTAAGGCAGAGGAGGAGGCTTTGGAGACTAGGCAAGACCTTAAGACCCTGGCCCCACCCTTCAAAGCCTTTAGGAGAGGCTTGGTTTCAACTGCCTCCCAGATCCAGGTAGTCTTGGACCTTCAGACTTAAGGGGGGTACTTGGGTATTGCCAATTCCTCCTTTGCCATCTGTAATTAAGAGCCCACCACCTCCCAAACCCACTGCAGGAGAGAAGATGACTGAGGCTGAAGTGGAGCAGCTGTTAGCTGGGCAAGAGGATGCCAATGGCTGTATCAATTACGAAGGTATTAAGCTGTGCCTTGCTTCCCAGGACAGCCAGGGATGATAGGATGGGAACAGCTTGTGTGGGTGGGCCGGAGAACTAGAGGGTGTGTGTCTCAGGCGGGCTTTGGTAGACCCCTCATTGGATGTTGTTCTTTTTCATCTTGTGAGTGAACCTCCTAGTGTCATGGCAGGAGCATGGATTTTGGAGATAGCTCTGTGATATATTAGCTGGTGGCCTTAAGTCACTTATTTTCTCTAAGCCTCAGTCTTCTCGTCTGAGGGATGGGGTGATGCTGGTGCCTTTCTCAAGGTTGTAGGGATTCACAGAGATAATGTAGCTCTTTCCATTTGTGTTGAGAATCAGCACAGAGAGTGGTCCCAGAGCAGAGTTTAGGTATCTGCCCTTCCTCCACCTTCTCCCCACCAACCCCCAAATAAGAGCAGGAACTACACAGTCTGGAGAAAGGGGAGCAGGAGGGTTGGAAGTCAGGCAGTGTAGAGAAGGGACAAGTGGTTTATGGGCCTAGAGGTGCTGAGCCACACGGCGGCTGATTCTCACTTCTTTCCTAGCCTTTGTCAAGCACATCATGTCAGGATGAGGCAGTCTTCCAGGTGAGTGCAGCCTCTCCCTCTTTGTCCCTTCTGGGGTTACACAAGGGCTTAAGAATAACACCACATGCCCTAGAGGGCATCTGCCCAGTCCTGACCCCTTAAGAGGAAACCACTTGGGAGCAGGATGTGAGGACAGTCCCGCTCACTCACCATCTCCTGTCTCCTGCCCTCCCTTGCCTGATCACCCTGTCTTGACCCTATCCATCACATTCTCTTGCCTCTCCCACGACTTCTCAAGGCAATGCCCTTCCTTCAGGCCTGGGGCCTCCTGTACAGGCTCCTGGGGATGAGAAAGCCAGATCCCACGTGGAAGAGAGGGTCCCCGGCCTGTGCTCTTGACTCTGTTCTTCCTCACTTCTTTCCCTAGGTTTCCCCTGTAATCCCCCTGGGGGTGGTAAGGGCCTGGGTATAGGAGGGGAAAATGCCCTTTCCACCTAGCACTTTCTTTCAGGTGCCTGGCCCTTGGCCTTAGCCATACCAGGGTGAGTTAGAGAGAGGTCCCGGATGTGAGCTGAGACAGAGTCCTGGACTTATCACCACGCCATTGCCCCAAGGACCTCACAGCCCCTCCCTGTTAATAAACAGCTCCAAAATGGCCAGGCTGGGCCCTGGGATTCTGACCAGTCTCTGCTTTGTTCGTTTTGTAAAACTAATCAACAAATTGAGTTGGTTTGTGGTGTGTGTGTGTGTGTGTGTGTGTGTGTGTGTGTGTGTGATAATGTCTCCTGAGGGCTTGTGTGTGCTCAGAGAAATGAGTAGTATCTGGGAGCTAGGGGACAAGGACAAAGGCCTGTGGATCTAGAGATACTGGGGTCAGACCCAGGAGAGCAAGCTCTGGGAGGCCAGCAGCTTGAGGGCTTGTCACCTGTAGGAGTTTCCTTCCCTTCGCTGCTCACCCTCTGCCTTATCACACCTCCAGGTGGCAGCAGGAGGGGCCGGGCTGAGGCAGGGACTCCTCCTATGGTCCTTGCTGTTGCTGCTTTAAAAAAAAAAAAGTTGTAAAATACACATAAAATTGACCATCTCAACCATTTTTCTTTTTGAGATGGAGTCTCGCTCTGTCGCCCAGGCTGGAGTGCAGTGGCACAATCTCAGCTGGCTGCAACCTCCACCTCCTGAGTTCAAGCGATTCTTCTGCCTCAGCCTACTGAGTAGCTGGGACTAGAGGTGAGCGCCACCACGCCCGGCTAAGTTTTGTATTTTTAGTAGAGACAGGGTTTTACCATATTGGCCAGGCTGGCCTTGAACTCCTGACCTCGTGATCCACCTGCCTTGGCCTCCCAAAGTGCTGGGATTATAGGCATGAGTCACTGCGCCCAGCCCCCATCTTAACCATTTTTAAACATACAGTTCAGTAGAGTGAGGTATATTTGCATTGTTGTGTAACTGTATTAGTCTCTTTTCACACTGCTGATATAAAGACATACCTGAAACTGGGAAGAAAAAGAGGTTTAATGAACTTACAGTTCCACATGGCTGGGGAGGCCTCACAATCATGGCAAAAGACAAGGAGGAGCAAGTCACATCTTACATGGATGGTGGCAGGCAAAGAGAGCTTGTGCAGGGAAATTCCCCTTTTAAAAACCATCAGATCTTGTGAGAGTTATTCACTATCATAAGAACAGCATGGGAAATACTTGCCTCCATGATTCAGTTACCTCCTGCCGGGGCCCTCTCACAACACGTGGGAATTCAAGATGAGATTTGAGTGGGGACACAGCCAAACCATATCAGTAACCAATCTCCAGAACTTTTTCATTTCCACCAGCAGAAACTCTGTACTCCTTAAACAACTCCCCATTCCTTCCTTCCTGCAGCCCCTGGCAGTCACCATTCTACTTTCCATTTCTATGAATTTGACCACTCTAGATAAGTGAAATCAGACAGCATGTGTCTTTTGTAGCTGGCTTATTTTATTTAGCACAATGTCCTCATGTTCCTTTTTTAAGGCTGGAACATATCCCATTGTATGGATGGACTGCAGTTTGGTTTAGTTCTTGCTTTTTTAGATGCCTCTTCCGATGAATGCAAAGCTCCAAGTACCTGAGTTAGTCCTGCATGTTCTGGAAATCTCATTGACTCCAGACCCAGGATTCCAGCTCAGTGCCCTGGAAAGAGTCAAGGTCAGAGGTCATGAACCTTAGGCTGAGAGGGAAGGGGAGTGGGGAGAGGCACGTGCAAAAAGGAGAGACACCAGAAAACCAGCAATTGGGAAGAAGGAGCAAGATGATGTGATGAAGTTAAAGACACATGTATATGAGTAGAAATATTTACATGGGAGCTCAGGCTCCAGTCATCTGAGAAAGGGAGTCCCTACATCCCTGAGAACCCCCCAAGGTGAAGTACATACTTCCCATGGCCTTTCTGTTGCCTAAAACTGTCAAGCATACAGCTACAGAACTCTGGAACAACTATGAGTCCAGCCAAGGGTGCCTGCCTGTCATGGGAAGCTGAGAACCATGAGCCCAAGTTTGCCCTTCTTAGAATGTACATTTCTGGCTGGGGAGATAAGGCCAAAGTCTATGTATATGTCCTTTGTTTCCCAGATTTTCTTTGAGGAAGGGTTTCAGCTTTGGTAGTGACTGATTGAATCTCAAAACCAGAGATCTTTATACAGTTGAGGAGGGGTTCATTGAATCCAGTGGTTCTCAAAATTTGGTTTAGCCCCATAGCCTTTTGTTCAAACTAAATTTTATGGGGAAGTCAATGTGTATAGCCGAAGAGAACAGAGCTTCTCTGGCTGAGGACAGGGGCTGGGTTCAGGCTTCTTGGAGCCTCTAACTGGGCTCCTTGGAGCGGAGCTAGTCAGACTTTCTAACTGTCAAAATCAGGAAACCAGATCCTTAGAGCTGAAGTGACTTAATCAAAGTCACAGCTAGTGTTGACAAGGTCCCCTGAATTCTACATTTTTTCCATTTTTGACGTACCATTTTCAACCTGCCTTCGAAATGTTTTCCAAGCTTGGCTCTTAGGACTCTTTTCCTTGCCCCCTGCCTCTTGGACTGCTCTATTTGGCCTGACTTTCTGCTCCTTTTCTTGAAATAACACCCCCAACTTGAAATGCCAACATTTCTCCTTAGCACTGGGGCCTCGTCAGGCTTCCCCCTTTGCCTTCCTTTTTTCTTTTTTAACATTTAGTTTAGGTTCAGGCGTACATGTGCAGGTTTGTTACATAGGTAAATTGCATGTCTTTGGGGTTTGATGTACGGATTATTTCCCCATCCAGGTAATATGCATAGTACCTGACAGGGAGTTTTTTGGTCCTCATCCTCCTCCCTCTCTTCTTTCTTTCTTCAGCAAGTATTTATTGCCCACTCTATTCAACTGTGAGGAAGTGGAGTTAAGGTTCCCAGTGATTAGAAAACTGAAAGTGTTTTCCTTGCCCAAAGTAGCTTACTGTTCACTTGAGCAAGCACATAAATATCCAGGGATAAATTGAGAACGATCCCCAAATAGCACAGGGATAACTCCATCTATGTAACATACAGCGTAAGTTTTAAGAAACCAATCAGAGGAGGAACCAGAAGGAAGTGAGGTATTAGAAGTATTTTATCTGGGAGAAGAGCTTTCAGTGAGGCCTGAAAGGAAAAGTTGCCTCAAGGTTGGTGCTTAGGTCAGGGAGAAGAAGAGCATGAACAAAGGTCCTGATTCACTAATTCAACAGATGCTCATTGGGTACCTGCTGTGCACATGGTACTGGCATGAGCCTTGAGGATATACTGAACCACACAGACATGGCCCCTGTCCTCATAGAGCTTTTATTCTAGTGGGAAGACCGACATTGTTTATGATGTAACAATATCAGCCAACATTTATTGAACACAGTATTAATTAAGATTACATTTGACTGTGAGTTATGAAGACCAAGACACAGTGACTTCAGAGAAATGGAAGTGCGTTTCTTCCTCCCATTGCAATCTAGACATTGGCAGTCCATGGCTGGCACAGCCATCATGCTCCACAGTCCTCAGGGTCCCAAGTGCTTTTATTGTATGGCGTCTCAGTGTGTGACCTCTACACATGGTCTAAGGTGCTGCTCTGGCTCAGCTGTCACTTCCACTGAGGGGTAGTTCAGGAAGCATTTTCTTTTCTTTCTTTTTTTTTTTTTCTTGAGATGGAGTTTCACTGTTACCAGGCTGGAGTGCAGTGGCGTGATCTCGGCTTACTGTAACCTCTGAATCCCTGGTTCAAGTGATTCTCCTGCTTTAGCCTCCTGAGTAGCTGGGATTACAGGCATGGGCCACCATGCCCAGCTAATTTTTGTAATTTTAGTAGAGACGGGGTTTCGCCATGTTGGCCAGGATGGTCTCAACCCCCTGACCTTGTGATCCACCCGCCTCAGCCTCCCAAAGTGCTGGGATTACAGACGTGAGCCACTGTGCCCGGCCCAGGAAGCATTTTCTACTTGGCAAACTTCCTTGGGAACCAGCACAACTTATCTGCCTCTTCTGTGGTGTTGGGCTTATTCATCTGAAGACAGAAGAGACTCCTGTCCTCCTAGCCATCCCTTCCCCAACCCCCTACTTTGCCCGGCCCATAGCTAAGGATTTGCCCCACCTGGGAAGGGGTATGCGTAAAAGGTGACTAAATAAAGCTCATGATTTTCTTCAATTAGACTGACTTCCACTATTTCAAACCCAGATCTAGACAATATACAGTTGACCCTTGAATAGCATGGGCTTGAACTGTGTGGCTCCATTTATATACAGATATTTTTCAATAAAAGTTACACTAAGTGTGCCTGTCCTCCTGCGTCTCCTTTCACCTCCACCTCCTTTTCCGCCTCTGCCACCCTGGGACGGCAAGACCAGCCCTTCCTCCTCCTCAGCCTACTTGACATGAAGATGAGGAGGAGGAAGACCTTGAAGATGATCCACTTCTACTTAATGAGTAGTAAATATATTTTCTCTTATGATTTTCTTAGTAATATTTTCTTTTCTCCACTTACTTTATTATAAGAATACAGTCTATAACAGATATAAAAAATGTATGTTGTTTATGTTTTTGGCAAGGTTTCCAGTCAACAGTAGGCTATTAGTAGTTAAGTTTTTGGGGAATCAAAAGTTATATGCACATTTTGGATTGCACAGGGGGGTGGTGTCCCCAACCTCCATGTTGTTCATGGGTCAACTGTAATTTATGGAAACAGGACTGAGCCTACTGGGGACCCTTCCACCATGCTGAGGGATGCCTGAATGAGGGCCTGAGAAGGTAGCATCTCAGGCAGGATGAGTGTAAGTGTGTCAGAAGGAGGAGGAGAAGGGCGTCCCAGCTCTGGGGAAGATTTAAGGGGGGCTCTGGCCTGGAGCCAGCAATGGCACCATCCTGAGGGGATGATGACAAATGAGGGGACACAGGGGAGCTGCTTCTGTGGAAGGGGGAATATGACTGTTCCCCAAAGGCCAGGATCTCTGCCTCCTTGTGGACAGATGCTGAGGAGAAGTTTGCCCAGAAAGTTGTCAGAGAGGACGGGTAGTTTCATGGAGCGTTCCCACCGTCAGAGGGAACGAACAGCCAGTGATCTTCAGGTGGAAGGTGGGAAAGGAGCAGAGGGGAACAGGGTATTCAAGGGTCTTTGCTAAGTCTCTTCCCTGTTCACTGCCACAGGCCCCTGATAAAG